CGCCGGCTTAGCAGGGCCCCAGGGGGGACACGCAGAGCCCGGAAGGGCCCGCGACGTCCCGCGGTTGGACCGAGCATATTAAACATTCTAAGAGCAGAGATAGCTTCCTAAAATGTGTGAAGGAAAATGACCAGAAAAAGAAAGAATCCAAAGAGAAAGGTACCTGGGTTCAACTAAAGCACCAGCCTGCTCCACCCAGAGAAGCACACTTTGTGAGAACCAATGAAAAGGAGCCTGAGCTACCGGAACCTATTCCCTATGAATTCATGGCATGATAGGTGTTAAAAATAAACTAATCTGTGGTCTATGAAAAAAAAAAAAGAATTAAAGTGTGTCGAGTAAGGCCAGGATCCAGCTGGAGCTTTGTCAATGCTGAGGGTTGGTTAGGAGAGAGGAGATGAGGAGTCGGAGGGGAGAGGGTCTGTACATCATAGGAAGCTGAAAGCCAACCAAAAGAAGATTAGATCTCCAACATGTAGTGGGCTGATAAATTTTTTTCCAGGTATTGCCATCACTGCTTATCATAATGTGGTTGTTATGGTGATGGGAGGGGCTGGGGGCTGAAGGTTGAAACTGAGAGGAAATCACTTCAGTTTAGTGTATGAAGATTTTCTAGATATAACTGAACCTGGTTCAGAATGAGGCTGTTTGAATTAGGTGGGAGACATCCATTGGTCTCTTCTGGTGATTCTGTAAGCATGATGTCTGTGCAAACACCTGTGGTCCTATTGGTTGGTCTCTGTTACTCTGAACTCCCAGAGGGCTCTCAGCAAGGATTCCTTCATAATTGCTTTTGGTACCTTCTGTCTTCCTTGCCTGTCATGTTCAATCACAGCCAAGGAAACTTAGATTTTACTTCCATAAAGACTCTCACATCCTCTTTCTCATCTCTACAGGGCCTTCATTTCCTCTCTTTAGAAGAAATGAATGTTCATGTCTGTGCCTTCCCTCCTACCTTGGCTGGCGATGTATGTAGCCTGTTGTACTTTAAACTGAACAGATGCAAAAGCTAAATTATTTGGCGGCCTTTCTGAAGTCCTTCCAGGTCTGTGTGGGTTCTCTTTTTTGCCTCCTTTTTTTTTTTTTTTTTTTTGAGAGGTTTTTGCCATAGGGCGCGTGCGCTCGCCAGACAGAGAGAGAGACAGAGAAAAAGTGAGAAATCACCCCCCAGGGGAGATGGCCACGCCACAATCCCTTCTCCTCCATTCTCCTCTCGGGATCTTGGGCAAGCACGTACATGCGCCGGCGTGAGTTTTAAGCCACCGGGTCCGGGACTTGAACTGTGGTGGATTACATGGGAGTCCAGCGACATAGCCATTACGCTAACTGCTGGTCCCCTTTTTTTCCTTCTTGAATTAGAAAGTAGAAGTCACAAGGCCAGCTACCTGTCACCAAAGCGATAGAAAAATGTATTAGAATCATTGGGACGAGATCAGGAATCTCATATAATAATCATATAAGGTATTACAGGGGCCTGATTGTCTGTCTGGGCCATCTCATACATTTTTTATTACCAAGGTTATATAACCACATACAGCTCTTAATCTGTCCTTCTGGGACAATGCAGGAGGTAAGGCTCTTAACTGGATTAGTCTTCCAAAGAATTGTTTTAAATAAGCTGCCATCAAAACCACAATGAAATAGCACTTACTCCCTCCCATACAGTCTCTGGTCTTCCCTACTATTATATCTTCAGATATTTTAATTTCTTCCATAGAGTACAGACATTCAGTATATACTGATTAGAGATATACAGTCTTTATCTTTCATAGTCTGGCTTACTTCACTTAGCATTAAAGCTTCTATGTTTGTCCACTGTGTATCAAATGGCAGGGTCACATTGTTCCTTAAGCCTGAGTAGTATTCCATAACATATATATGCCACATTTTTCCAATCCAGACATCAGTTCTTGGGCACTTAGGTTGATTCCATGTCTTAGCAATTGTAAATAATGCTACAATAAACATGGATGTACAAATGTCTATTTTTTTATCCTTTGAATAAATACCACGGAGTAGGATTATTGAATCATATAGTAGTTTTATTTGTACGTTTTTAAAAAAAATAATTATTTAATTTTATTCATTGTCATGAAATATAATCTGATCATAAGTATGTATGTTCTCCAAGAATATTTGAGCATGTGGAAAGATGACAGAAACCATGTATATTGTGTTTGATATATACCCAGAAGCTAGCATAGTACTGATATTTAAGTATTAGTTGGATGTGAAAGCTTAAAAGTAAGTATTAAACATTACGTGCAAGATGATTCTAATTTTAATTTTAAGAGAGAGTATGGGGACCAGCAAATGGCATAATGGTTACATTGCTGGACTCACACATAGTCGATCGCCATTCAATTCCCAGACCTAGTGGCTGAAACTCATGCTGGGTGCATGTGTGTGTGAGCCCAAAATCCCGAGAGGAGAATGAAGGAGAAGGGATTGCAGTGTAGCCATCCCTCCAAGGGGTGATTTCTCGCTTTTTGTCTCTCTGTTATACTCTGTCTCTTTGTGCCCTATAGCAAAAATATCTTTAAAAGAAAAAAGAGAGAGAGAGCGTATGTGGCAGAAGTACACCCAAAAGATCAGAAGTGCATAAAACAATATGTTAACAGAGGTTGTGTTCCATGTACTTGTAGGTGATTTTTATATTTCTTTGTACTTTTTTCATATTTTCTAATTTTGCTACAATGTACTTCAATTAGTTTTAAAACAAGAAAGATTACTTTCTCATCAATTCTGACTACATGTTGGTGCTAAGTGAAAATGTAGTCAGTAGGAGACCAAGTTCATGAATGAAGGTGTTTTGGAGACGGTGAGATGTTAAACTGAGTGTTAAATGCAGGGACAGATGCCATCCATTTCAACTTGAGACTTTGACAGGACTCTGGACCCAATAATCCTCTGGAACATGCAGAAGCCATGCCCTGGGCAAAAGCCCATCATCCCTCCACTGTTCATCACCCTTGTTTGCCGGCTCCGAGCAGCTGTTCCCGGTACTGAGGTTCCCTTATCTCTTTATTCTCATTCTCACTTCCAGCTCCATTGCTTCGATGGACATCTTGAACTCTCATCCTCTGTATTCTCTCTCCCTTGGGTCTGTTTAAGTTTCTGCATTCTGATTCAAAGCTCCCAGCCACCTTGTTGAGGACTGCAGCTTGGTCTGCTTTTTCAGAATCTAGAATGCTGCCTGACATGCAACAGATATTCAGTACCTATGTGTTGTGTACGTGAATGTGATCCACAGAAAGGCAGGCAGAAAGTGTGAAGGAGAATACAGAAGGATGGCTGACCTCCAACGTAAGCGAAGGAACGGAAGTGAACAAGGAGTGTATCTGTGTCAAACACATTGGATGCAATAGTTTAAAATGTAACAGATGGACACATGTAGACATTTAGATACTGGAACGTATGAAAGAGAAGTTCTGAGAATAGTGACTGCAGCACTTTGTCTTTAACGGGCCTTTAAGTTAAAAAATTCTATGTATTTTCATTTTTGTATGAGGTATAAACACACACATATACACATGGTATGGACTTTTAATTTTGTTCTTTTAAAACTTTCTTTTTGTTAGAGCTAGCAATTCAAGATAGTTGCAACAGAGGGCAGAATTGTGTAAGAAATTTAAACTTTTTTTTTTTCTTCTTGCCTGAAAAGCACCTCAAAATAAATATTACAGCAATACATGGTTGAGTTAAATACTCTTTCTTGATTTTCTAGTTTTTAAACTTTATTTATCACAATTATTTAGAAGTACGATATTGTTCCCATGTCTATGCATAATTTTTTTCACAATATACACGTTCCATGGACTTTTTGAAGACCCCCTTGCTTTCTCAGTTTCCATCTCTCTCTCTCTCACTCTGTCCCTATCTGATCAAATTAAAATAAAATAAATAAAGTTAAATAAAATAATTCTTAGGAAAAAAAGGGAAGACCAGCAGGTGGCATGGTGGCTAAGGGCTCTAAACTCTCACATGGCTGACCACGGTTGGAGTCCCAGGCCTGGTGACTTGCTTTCTCACTTTCCATCTCTCTCATTCTGTCTCTATCTGGTCAAAATAAAATAAAATAAATAAAGTTAAATAAAATAAGTCTTTTAAAAATATATATAAACCTTAATAAAAGGAAATGGTTGATCCTCTGAAATAAAAACTGAAATATGGATAATATATTTAATTTCCATACCAGTATTAAGCAATGAGTACTCTTTGTTCTTTTCAATACGCTTGAGGATTGGGGCCAGCAGATTGTATGGTGGTTGGGGCACTGGACTCCCACATGACTGATACAGTTCAAGTCCTGGACCTGGCACTTTTCTCTTTCTCTTTCTCTCTCTCTGGTGAGCACACATGTCCTATGACAAAATTGAAAAATATTAACAAAAAAAATAAAATTAAAAAAATATGCTTGATTATTTTCTTTCTGTTCTAGTGCTGGAATGCAGACTTTCTGAATTGACTGCCAATGACAAATACCGATTAATGATCTTTATTGGGAGTTTTTTAAAGCTTATGGGGAAGACCAATGAAGCACGAGAGTTGCTCTTGAATGTTGAGGACATGCTAATACAGGTCAAGTGAGAGGAAATATTGAATTCTCCAAACTTATTCCTTGGTGTTATAAAGTTTTAGGTGTCATTTACCTTGTTTTTTATAGCTTAAACTACAAATAGTCAATTGATTTCTTTCATTGATGAGGAAGTTATTCTTTTGTTGTTGTTGTTTGTTTGTTTTTAGTTTTGTTAAAGGGTATGTGCACTTACCAGGGAAAGAAAGATAGAGAGTGAAAGTGAGAAATCAGCCTTCTGGGGCGGATGGAAAACTCATGAAGTATTTTACCTATGTTTTTCTATGCAAAAATGTGTCATGACTTTTCCAGCAACCCAATATTGGATATCCAATGATGGCGATAACGGCGTCCATTGTATAGGGGATTTGTAGTTACCAAAAACATTCAAGTATATTTTTGTTAATATTAAGTTTTCTGAAATGAGATCTTAACAGTAAAATAACTCATCACTAATTCTTATTTCTCGGCCGACATTTAAGGGGCTGTGTAACCAGCTATTGCAGTCTTACGCATTGATATGGTTTTGATGGAGGAGTGATTTCAATTGATGAATTGTTTTTCTTTTTAAGATTTTTACTATAGGGTGCATGTGCTCACTGGAGACACAGAAAGACAGAGAGAGGGAGAGAAAGTGAGAAGTCACTTCCCAGGGGGATGGCCACGCTGCAGTCCCTTCTGTTCTCCTTTTGGGATTTTGGGGACTTGCATACCTGTTCAGTGTGAGTTTCCAAGTGCCAGGTCCAGGACTCAAACTGCTGTTGGCCATGTGGCAGTCCAGCACCTTTAACCACTAGGACACCTGCTGGCCCCTTGATGAACTTTTAAGTATTCCTGAAATAATATGCTAGACCAGTAAGAAGAGTTTAAATTCAAGTTCTAAGCAAAAATGTGTAAAGCATAAAGCTAGTAGCCTTCTGGTCACACTTGAATTCAAGCCACATTTTCAGCTGTTCATCTGAATGCTAGATGCCTCCACCTCTGGAACCTTAACAGATGCAAGACATTATCATTCTTTTCTTTTTTTCCTTTTATTGCTGGAGGGTGCCCGCCAGAAAAAGAGTACCTTAGCACGTGCCCCCCGATCAGGCATGGTCATGCTGCAGTCCTTTTCCCCTCATTTTTCCATCACATCAGGATTCTGGATACACACGGACATACATCCAGCATGGTTTTCAAGCCACTGAGGCCAGAATTTGAACCAGGGTTGGCCATGTGGGATCTGGCTCCCCCTGCACAAGGCTTACCGCACTGTGCTAGGGGGCCAGCCCACAGATTTTTAAAAAACAACATTTATTTATTTATTTGTTGTGACTTTCAAGTCACCCAGTTTGGGACTCAAACTTCAATCAGCCATGTGGGAATCCAACTCCTTAACCACCATGCCACTTGCTGGCCCAATGCCCACCGACGTTTTTTAAAAAGAATTATTTACTTAATTTAATTTGTTTTTATTATTTTTTACTTTGACTAGAGGTAGAAAGAGAAAGAGAGAGAGAAAGAGAAAGTGAGAAAACAAATCGCCAGGTCTGGGATTTGAACCATGGTTGGCCATGTGGGAGTCCAGCGACCTAACCACTACACCATCTGCTGGCCCCCAAGATTTTTATTGTCCTTAACAACTTGCGAAAATATTTTCCAAAATGCGTTGTTAGTTTGCGATGTCTCCCAATAAGTATTCCATCAGAGCCATTATTTTATAAATATTTAAAATTTCCTGAGAAAGCACGTAAGGTGCACAACCTTTTGCAAGTTCATTATGAAATGAGCCTTCTTGGGCAGGTGTCTGGGGCCTGTTTCTGTTCTAATGCTGTGCTCCTTTTTTTCTGCTTTGTACAGAGCCAGTCCCACATGGTGGAAATGCTTCCCAAAGTACAGAATGCCATTGGGGAACTCCATCTTGAAATTGGAATGACAAAGGACGGGTGCCAATACTTCCAGAAAGCCTGGTCAAACCTGCTGTATTTTTCACTCAGTGACCTAAAGGACAACCAGGACCTGCTGAGGCAGAAAGGTGCGATAGATACCCACAAAAGGAATGACCTCAGTGCTTCCCAGAGTCAGATTCCTCCTGGGCTACCCCCTCCAGAAAAGGAAATAGATGCACGTGTCTGGTTTGCTCATTTTTGCAGAGGGCAGGTGGGTATGTGAGGGTTGAACTTAAAGCTCTCCTCATACCCTTTTACAATGCCGAAGGCTGTTAGGATGCACCCAGAGAAGGAGGCTTTGGATACTTTGAGGCTGGGGGCAAGAGGTGGTGGGTGTCAGAACTTGATTCAAAGCCAGCCTTTCTGGGTTCAAATCCCACCTGTCCACTTATTAACTCTGTGCCTTTAGACATGTTACTTAACTTTGTGGGTCTCAGCCTTCATATTTGTAAGGTAGGGATCAAAGCAGCATCTGTATCGCATATTGTGAGAGTGTTCATAGGAGACTGTAAGGCACATGGAATGGTGCCTGGCACATGGTTGAGTATTTACGAATGATCTGATTCCTCAGTATTTGATGCCTGAGGCTACTGTGGTCTGGCAGAGATGCAGCATGTTTGTTGCACTAAGCGTTATGTTTAAAAACTCTGCAGAGGGCATATGTGCTTGTCAGAGAGCAAGAGGGAGAGGGAGAAAGCATCCTATGGGGAATGGTCATGCTGCAATCCCCTCTCCTCATTGCTCCACCCTGTTGAGATTTGGGGCATGCATACACATGTGCCTGGTATGTTTTCAAACTGTCAGGTTCAGAACTTGAGCTGTAGGATCAGCCATGTGGGATACAGTTACCTTAACAGCAAGGCTGTAGAGTCAGCCTTACTTATAATCTTTCTTTTTATTTTTTTGGAGAGGTTTTCACTATAGGGTGCGTGTGCTCACCACACAGACAGAGAGAGACAGAGAGACAGAAAGCGAGAAATCACCCCCCAGGGGGGGATGGTCATGCCGCAATCCCTTCTCCTGCATTCTCCTCTTGGGATCTTGGGCACGCACGCACACGCGCCCGGTGTGAGTTTTAAGTCACCAGGTCCGGGACGCGAACCACGGTCGACTACGTGGGAGTCCAGCGACATAGCCATTATGCTAACTACTGGTTCCCAAATCTTTTTTTTTTTTTTATAGAGATTTTTGCTATAGGGCATATGCACTTGCTGGAGAGACAGAGAGACAGAAAGCGAGAAGTCACCCCCCAGGAGGCATGCCGCAATCCCTTCTTGTCCATTATTCTCTCAGGATTTTGGGCATGCACACACATACGTCTGGCATGAGTTTCAAGCTGCTGGGTCCAGGACTCAAACTGGGGTCAGCCATGTGGGAATCCACTGGCATGCCCACTATGCCATCTGCTGGTCCCAAATGTTTTTTTTATCCTCGAATACACCTCATGTTATGTGTATTGTTATCTGCCCCCTCCTTTAATCAATGAGGAAGCCGAGGGTCAGAAAGTTTATGTAACTTTACCTCCTGGAGCTGGGAAATCTGGAGCTGGGGTTCTGAGCTAGGCCTGTCTGACCCCAGACCCTGTCTGGGTAACTCCTTGCTACACAGAATCTCTTTCAGACATTTGTGAAACTGCAATTCTTTTTATTTATTTACTTTTTGCTATAGGGCATGTGTGCTCACCAGAGTGAGACAGAGAGAGAGAAAAAAAGTGAGAAATTACCTCCCGGGGGTAGGGGGGGAATGACCACAGAGCAATCCCTTTTCCTCCAGTTTCCTCTTGGGATTTTGGCCACTCATGCACATTGTACCCAGTGTGATTTTTCAAGCTGTCGGGTCTGGGACTTGAACAGCACAGCCAGACATGTGGGATCCAATACCTTAACCTCCATGCCATTTGCTGGTCTTGAAGCTATAATTCTTGAGATGTAGAGTCTAGATTCCAATTTTTGTCCTAATGCAGGCAGGCCTGGTCACAGGCGTGCTAGGCCTTGAGACTCAGGGGAAGGCAGGGTGGTGCCCAGAGACAATGAGCTGGGCCCTGTGGGATCCTGCTTCCCGATGCTCCGGAGCAGTTGGGCAGTCCAGCACACAGAGTTCCAGGGGCAGGCAGACCCAGCTGGGATCCAGGAGGATGATTCTCCGAGGAGGCCAACACTGCAGGGCGGTAGGGAGGGGGTCCCGGTGAAACAAGAGGCTAGGAGGTGTCAGTGTTATTAGCAGCAGCTTGGATGTGAACGCATGCCATTCCAATCTCCTGATGAGGGTCAGGCAGGGGTCTGGGGCCTGGGCAAGCAGTGGGGTGAGGATTCCAGCCTGGCCAGAGTGAGATGTTCAGGAAGTGTTTACACAGCCTGATCTGCACCAGGCGTGCCGAGTCCAGAACGATGATCATGACGGGAACACCCTCTAAAAGGAGGTGACACACAACACACGAGAGCCAACACGTGACATGTTACAGACACGAGATGCAGTGATTAGGCCTCTCAAAGGAGGGGACATTAAAGCTGAGACCCAACAGTCTACAGGAGCCACGTGTAGTGGTAGAGGGACAGGCTGGCAGGGGGAGCAACATGGGCAGACCCCTGGGGGGGGACAGCTGAGCCTGTCCTAGGAATGGAGAGAAGCCTCAGCATGCAAGAAGTAGGAGGAACTGGACCCAGATAGTGGGGTCCCGGTCTCAGGGTGGCATTTGGATTTTATTCTATTTAACTGTGCAGAGTGGAGACCAGCAGTTGACATAATGGCTATGTTGCTGGACTCCCATGTAGCCGACTGGGGGTTGAGTCCTGGACCCGGTGGCTTAAACTCATGCTGGGCGCGTGTGCGTGCATGCCCAAGATCCCGAGAGGAGAAGGGATTGCGGCATGGACATCCCCAAGGGGGATGATTGCTCGCTTTTTGTCTCTCTGTCTCTCTCTGTCTTTTTGGCGAGCGCACGCACCCTATAGCAAAAACCTCTCCAAAAATAATAAAGTGCATAGGGAAGTCAGTGAGGCAGTTAGGGTGGGGATGACACCATCCGATTTCTACACTTGATCTTAGCCAAAAGGCCGAGAAGAGATCCCATCCGATTTCTGTTTTGAGATCACTTTTGCTGCTGTGTGGAGAATGGATTCATGGTGGGTAAGAGTGACCAAAGGGAGACCAATTATGGCTGCCCTGCCCTGATGTCCAAGTATGAGGCATGAGACGCAGGGTGGACAGTGGGCAGTGAACTACATGCTGTTGCTGATGGTAAGAAAGAGGTGCTTCCCGAGAACCTGACAGGAATGCTTTGTAATTCCGTCTAAGTTTCATAGCTCTGAGAGTTAAATCGTATTTATTTATTTATTTTTTGTCTGCTAGCAATGCTCTAATAACATTTTCTCAGAACATTATTCTACTAGTTTGCTAGGGCTGCCCAAACACTGTACTGTACAGACTGGGGGCTTAAACAACAGAAATGTTCCTCTCTGTTCAGGAAACAGAAAGTTTAAGGCTAAGGGGTCAGCACCTCCTTCCACTTGACAAAGTATGGCTTAGAAACCACTTTCTACTTTTGAGGAGTTTGTATCGTCAGAATATTGAACTTTCAATAAAGGAGCAAAATTGTTGGGTCTTTGCAGAGGGTGCGTTCCCAAAGTAGGGTGGACTTAGGTGGATCTTGTTACTTGTTAACCAGGTTCGTGGGACTCTTCTGTGCTTCTTGTCATAAGGCTGTATCAGTTTATTATGTCTTTTATTTTTGTAAAGAGTTATTTATTTAATTTTATTTATTCATTCATTTATTTTGATTTGACTAGAGAGAGACACACACACACAGAGAGAGGGAAAGTGAGAAAGCAAGCCACCAGGTCCGGGACTTGAACTGTGTTTGACTGTGTGGGAGTGTCCAATGCCTTAACCACCATGCCACCTACTGGCCTCAGTTTATTGTATCTTGTTAGAGGACTGTATGGGCTGCCTCCTGTAGGTCTCGGTTACCTGGGTGATGTTCAGTTTCATTGCC